AGGAGGTATGACTGGCGCTCGCTCAACACCAACCACCTCGGGTTTATCTTGACTAGACTTTGCATTGGCTGAGTCCTGGTCCTCACTCATTGTGGCGTCGATATGTTTGTTTCTCTGGTACGATGTCTCCTCGACGAAAAAGAAGGCTAAGATGAAGAGCGCCGAGGCGAAGGCTAGGATGACGTAGAAGAAAAGCCTCCACGAATATTTGGTAGGGAGCATATATGCCGCCGGAAGCGTGGCAAGTGCTGCAAGGCACAACGCAACTATTTAAACTCTTGTCAGCTAAAGCCCCTCAGATTAGCTAAGAGGTATTTCCATTACATGTGTAGTACCCAAGTTGCACTCCACGTTCGTGTAGAAAGAACACGTCATTGACGAGTTGAACTGGCAAGGCTTCGCAGACGCCTGCACCTAAACAGTGGATAATGCGGGCCGCCATGAGGCCATTAAAACTAGTTGCCCGCGAGCAGCCAGCGAGGCCCGCGATGAACTATCAAGAGAATTCAGCATTTTCATTTCGTGAGCAGGAAAAATGGCATTGCTTACGGCTAACATTGACCCAAGCATAACCGGCCTCCTCCCAAATTTTAAATACAGCGGTACCAGTAACCACGATGTGAGCCCATAGGCTAGGTTGGGATATGAGATCAGAGTTGAGGCATCCGCCTGCGAAACGTTGAATATCTCTGACCACAATGTAATGTACGGACCGACCCCCAATAGTGCTGAATTGCCGAGGAAAGAGTAGACGCAGATGACGACGAGGATCATTGTCTTCTTGAACCGAGGCCACTGGAGGGGATCATTGGGATCCTCGGCCGGCACGGGGAAGAGTGCCTGGCCATAGCCAGTATCATCTCCATCTAGTCATGTATTAGCGCGTTGCGAAAGATCTCATCCCGTTCAAGACAACTAACCCATCGCTTTGACATTCACCGTGCCTGGTATATCCCCTTCATGCGCATGGCTGTTGGAAATCGTCAACGAATATGGTCTCGGCCGCAGATTCCTCCTAGAAATAGAAATACCTGTGGACAAGACTAAGTCCCGTTTTATGCTGCTGGTTCGAGGTATTTGCCATACTGATTCCTTCGCGACTTTGCTCTTTACCCGAGAGGAAAGTAGTTTGATCGTAACGAGTGGTTTCGATATCGCTGATGACAGTCTGAATATATAAGCTTGCTAGCTTTAACGATCATCGGTGGCTGCTAGATTGCGCTAATATTCAGATATTCCAAAAAGGACGAAGTAAAATAAAGAAAGTACTTTCAGGCAAAAGAACGGGAAAGTCACTGCACAGTTCTGCCACAGGGGTCTATCAAATCTTTATAGGTACATTACAAGACAACTAGGTCGGCAGTCAGATCGTCATTAGGGGACCGGCATTACTTACATTTACCCCACGACCCCAAACCGGTTTCTGTTCCGTGCAGCAATGTTGTCGACATGGTCTGGATATGCACGGTTTTCGTCAAATATATGGAACCGAATGATATTAACCGCGGTATATTGCATTGTTGATTTCAACCGATATTAATTACTAGCTTCTCATATAAGGAGGCAATCCTATAACAGGCCAAGATGTCGCAAACGTAACACCGTTACTCCAATCTACCAAAATGTTTTTCTTCGTTTCCCTTTTTTAGTAAAACGTGAAACCCATATCTACTAGCGCTCTGAGAGACGCTTAATCATGTTAGGCGAGGCATATTGGCCTTCAACTATTAGTCTTGGTTTGGTCATCGTTTACTCGGAAGCAAATTATAGCATCGTCTGATTCCTTAGTGGCAAGCAATGCATAACACTCTAGGTGCCTTCAGTTTTTGAATCATGAAATTTCCTTAATGCATAGCCAATCAAATTATGTTCTAATAGTAGTAGATATAGGCGTTTTTACACATAGGTGGACTGCTTAAGCTATTTCTAACTCAGTTTCATATAATACTTATTATCCAATTATCTCCCCAAATACAGCCGTAGTACAGGTAATGGTGTTACTCTGCGGCAGTTGTTTAGTAACTGTAAGCCGGCCACCCCCAGGCATCTGTTGGAATAATCAAACTAGATAGAAATATCAGCGCTTAACGCATTATTACTATCCTGAGCAATATCCTGGGTTGTATGGCCTACCAGTTCTAACAGCTAGAGTATAAGTCAGTCCCATCAGATGCGCAGAAGGTTGGTGTGGAAAGACCGAGCAGTCGATGATTCGAGTTTTATGAGTGCCGTAACGAGTATGTTAGTATCGACGACACCACCTTCCTTTTCAGGTAGAATGCGATCATCACCTGTGAGGTGCTCCGATGTGCCAGTTCGCCGCTTCACACCCGCTAAATACGCAGTAAATAGCAGGTCATATTGAGGATCTATAGAGGTGAAAACGCAACTCAATAGTGGAGTTGCGGCGAGTTTTGTTTGATAATGCTGTGTGGCTTGGCCGGAAGCCACATATCTAATTCCACACTCGTCCCATTGGTGGTGGCATTGACGCAGTTGTAGTTGGGATTTATAGTTGGTGGATCAAAAAGGTTAGAACCGCTAATGTGAACCATTCCTTGGGTAAGCGGCATCAAGTTATAAGGCGTGGTGCTTGGGTGCTGAAACTGCCATGCAACCTCCATCAAGGGTTGGTCGCTGAACTAAAATTGTTTTTGAAAAATTTCAGCTGTGGTTTGGGCCCCCTAGGATTGTTTTCTGTTACTTCCAACCAAGAAGATGCCACCGCGAAATCATCATTGTTAAGCATTGTGAGAACACTCTCCAGCTGAACTGTGCCTGCCACAGTCAGTCATATTCAGTCTCAGCGAATCCTGGCATAGTTTCTCTCACGGGGATTCTAAATGGGAGTTATTGACAACACCACCATATATTCCCTCCCCAGGCAGTGACTGGAAAGGCCTAAATACCAAGACGAGACTCACTATACTTCTGTATGACTTCATTGCCCGTCAAGGCGGTATTGGGGATGAAAGAAGTACGTAGGCCAACCAGCACATGCCTAGAGAGTGTCAACTAGAGTGACCGTTTCTACTCGGAGTAGATAATAGTAACTCGCGTATTTCTTAAATCTACACCCATGCTGGTCAAATTAATCAGTACTGAAATTCCCCAAAAGGTAAGAATTTCAGGGCCACCAATACCTAGTACCTCGAGAATCTGTGAAGACTACACACAAATCGCGCTCACGATAACTTGACGCGTCTTATTTGGGTTCGGTATGCTGTTGATATATCTGAGGCTCCTCGCTGTTGCGAGCGATCCGCTCAGTCTCGTGTCTAGCCAGTCGATCCCAATCACGCGGCTATTTTTCAGGAAACATAGTCCGAGGGGTCGATGGCGAGCGGCAGAAATCCACCTCCTACCGCATTATCACTGTCACGCCTTCTAGGCTGGGACAAAGAAGGTGTTGTGTACGTATCAGTTGGTGATAAATTAGACTCTTCGCGTAACAACGAATGTTTATCACCCCCCTATACTTAGGTCATGACGACCACCATTCATATCTAAATGGACCCGATAACTGGAGTTTTATATGGTGAATTTTGACTTTTAGCTATTCTGGGGAGAGGCTCTTGACGCTTCGTTTAACCATTAGCGCTGAAGTCGTTCACTTTGTATTAGAAGTCTTGAAGTAGTATGCATGTGGTGGCACATACGTGGCGTTGCTCTCTCGATAAGCAGTAGGTATTGTCTCCGAATTCCACCTAGTAAGGTTGAGCAAGCCCTCTGATATGTTGAGCTGAATGCGGCTGTGTTGTAGATCATCCAATTGATAGCAGATGTGCCGCCAAAGGCCTAGTGTCTCGTACCTTTATCGTCAGGCCCAGGCTGAGGAAACGTCCAGAATTGCCAGTCATATTCCGTGTGCTTAATAGTTCAGTTGAAAGGAGTGCACACCCCTGAGCCCCGGGTTAGTAATGTTGCTTTCCAATCTGCCATATCCCCTGGCCTCGAGCACAGAGAACGTGACGTCGGGGGTTTCCGTTAGAATAATAGCCACGAGCAGACTAGCTACACCCGCACCAGCAATAACGTAGTCAAATAGGATATTAGTTTAGGCCACTACCAGAAAAGTAGCAAATATGGCCAAGTCTGCTTGGAGCATCGTGATTTATTGCGAAAATTAGTAAAATAGAAGCCTACGGAGTCGTACGGAGACTTCGGGTATCGACAACTAATGTTTCTATAAGCACATTAGAAGCCTTGCATTAATACTAAGCCTCATTACTCAGTGACATCCCCCACCGGGTGCTCGAGACCTGTGGCCATGGTTGAAAAACTAAGAAATTTGAAGCTTATGTTGACTTCATAGTACAGATTTTTGACCAGGGTATACAGTTAAAGTCGGTCTATATAATTTCAATGGTCATTCCGAGCAGAGTGAGATTCAAGCTGCTTGTAAAAATGTACCCAGATTCCGGGTACAAGAAGGATACCGGAGAAATTATTGCAATAGGAAACATATCAAGTTATTTTTTGCCTACATATTAAATCATGTTAAGCCCATCGAAACCATTTTTTTTAGAATTACATACATATTCAGCTATTATTGATCATGGTGCGATTAAGTGCAGCACCCTTAGTTACAAGTGCACTATACTATATGCTATACGGCTACATACTGTGTTCTAGTTAAGGCTTTCCGTCGAACTATGTATTGAGGAGGCTGACCAGTTGTCTATGGCATGGAACAATGAGTAGCTATAGAATTATTGCTAAGCGAATAAATACGGCGGCTGATTATCTACACCCATCTACTACGGTGCTATACATAAACTTTAATCTCTTTTTTAAGAAGGAAAATTGCCGCTTTACCGTATATAAACAATCTTTTTAAAGGAATAAATAATAAACAAGTATATGTATATGCAAAATATATAAAGTTTAAAGAAAAAAAGAACTTAAAAAAAGAAGTTTAATAATAATAATAATAAAGCGCCCACGCCTACTAAAAATGTGTAATAAAATACTCGATTATAAATAAATAAAATAAACCATGACCTCGCTGGGGGTCAAACCCAGAATCTCCTGATTAAACACAAGATTCATAATAGAATTTCTCAATCGTAGTCAGACGCCTTGCCATTGGGCCACGAGGCCAAGTATTTAGTAACGGAATGGTGTTTGGTAATACAGTCCCATGAGGCCGAGTGTCACGGAGAGGTGGGTCTAATGGACCCAGTATGTAGAGGGATCGGTGGAACTATAGACCGGGTGATCCCTAGTATATATAGGTCTGTTTTCTACGCTATTGTACAGCTTAGAATTTAGACCCTAGATCATCTGAATACACTACTATCTGATCGCTTCTGGTGAAAGCACTGGTCAATTTCTTCCAATAGATCAATCTCCACTTCTCCGCGAGACCGAGCCTAACCCTAGTTAGATCCGTTGTCTACGGCCCGCAGCCCTAGTCTAAATAGTTATGTCAATTCAAACAGGAAAAAAAAACACTTATTTATCATACACCTTATTAGATAATTTATTTTGGAGATATAAGCATTATACTATAAGGTTTTAAAATATTTACTAGGTGTGTTAGGTTACTGTTATTATGTAATGAAACAAGCCGAGATTCTTTACCTTTATCCCAAGGATGCGCCGAAAATATTCCGAGTAAAGACTAGCTAGCTAAGCTTCGATGACTGAAAAAGATGAGGTATTCACAAGTTGCATGCTAGCTCATGGTTAGCGGGTTTTGTGCGACGAACTCTCGGTGTTGGGACGATGTAGAACGACGAACAGTCCGAAAGATGTGTTTTCTTTTGCAGCTGTATTGTATTGCCCTCTATACCTATACAGTATGTAGATGCGGACGGTGCGGAGATGCGGACAATGCGGGCAAGGCGGGTTTCACCGGCTTCCTTTGGTTGACCTTGGCTTGCCGCTACCCCGCGTTAGGGTTTCCAACGAAGGCATCTCTGTGACGAATAGCAGACGACCAATTACATAGATGGGTGCCAAGACTAGTTGGTGCCTATCACGAGACGTTGTGACGATCAAAGCGGCGTCGGCATAATCGGGCAGAGGATCGGGGTTGCAGTACAGGAGAAGAAGAAGACTTAGCTAACTACTCACGCTAACGTCAACGCCAACGCTAACGCTAACTCTATTACAGTGAACTACAAGTTGGCACTGATACCATCCGTATAGAGACATGTCGCGTACGAAAGAATCGGTCTATTAGTAAAAGAAGTGGCATGATAAGCCGGGAAAATGATCAATCATGTATGCAATACCACCACTACTAGTTGGCTTGGTGAAGAAGAGGGGTAATGGGCATGCAGGTCGCTTTCACACACTTCCCGGACGGTGATCCAGAAGAGGTGATCCTCCAGACCACTGCAGACCAGTACAGATTGAACGTGCCACAGAACCCACAGTTGCCGAACCACCCCCGGACAGGACCCCGGGACACTCCGTCTCAGAAAAGGCGCTTACCTAACGACAATACATGGGCGGGATGGGGCCGCTTCTGCAGTGGCTACCCCCGGTAAAGCGTCGAGTCGGGGGTTGGGGGTTGGGGATTGGGGATTGGGGGTTGACATTTGAGAGCAACCGTTTATTGCCAGTAGTAACTCTATCCAGTGGTTCGTTCGTTCCATCCTATCCGGGGCAGCACTACTGTCCAGGGGATCGAGACATGACTCTATAGGTCCCAACCCCTCCTCCACCCACATGGAGCCAACACGGAGTCAAGGTGAGGTATGTATCAGGTACTACCGAATATTGCCTTGGTATACTACAGAATACCCTACCAGAAACCGTACCTACATGAGACCTCTTACAGTCAGCCACCCAACTGTACAGGGAGTACATCTGACGAGGGGAGGATTCTATCTACTTTGTACCTACGTCACGCAATGGTCCGATGGCGTTTACTGTTGCTGCTTATAAAGTGCGGGGTTGGCCGCCGTTGATTACCCGTCGCGCAGTGATCTCTTTCTCTTTTTCCTATCCTTTCTTTGTCCCTCTTCTTGGGATTAATACCATCAAGTCTTGCTCTCGTACTCTTTCATCTACCAATCTCGAGCTTGCACCTACGCCCAGCACAATATCTGGACGCAAGTCCAACAACTTAGATCTCCTTCATAATTTAAGTAGCATCATGGCAGAATCAAAGTGCCCCATCAAACATAATGTGGCTGGCGGTGGTACGCGGAACCGAGATTGGTGGCCCGATCAGCTACGTTTGAACATTCTTCGCCAAAACAACCCCTCCTCCAACCCATTAGACAAAGACTTTGACTATGCCGAAGCCTTCAAGTCCCTCGACTATGCTGCGCTAAAGAAAGATCTCCACGATCTTATGACAGACTCTCAGGATTGGTGGCCAGCAGATTTCGGCCACTATGGTGGCCTGTTCATCCGCATGGCCTGGCACAGCGCTGGCACTTACCGTGTTTTTGATGGCCGTGGCGGCGGCGGCGGCGGTCAGCAGCGCTTTGCTCCCCTGAACAGCTGGCCTGACAATGTCAGTCTCGACAAGGCCCGACGCCTGCTGTGGCCCATCAAGCAGAAGTATGGCAACAAGATCTCGTGGGCAGATCTGCTTCTGCTGACCGGCAACGTTGCCCTCGAATCTATGGGCTTCAAGACGTTCGGCTTTGCTGGCGGCCGCAAAGACACCTGGGAGGCCGATGAGGTTCCTTACTGGGGTGGTGAGACCACCTGGCTAGGTAACGACATTCGCTATGCCAAAGGCCGTGCCGGTCTTGAGGGCCACGGCGTCATTTCCTCCGACGAAAACCCCGAGGGTGAAGTCCACTCCGGCGAGCTAGAGAAACCTCTGGGTGCCGCCCATATGGGACTAATCTACGTGAATCCTGAGGGGCCTGACGGTATCCCGGATCCCGTTGCGGCAGCACATGATATCCGCGATACATTTGGTCGCATGGCAAGTAAGTTCTCTCCTCTCTCTTCACCTCTCTGGAACCGGCTGACCTGGTGACCACAGTGAACGACGAAGAGACTGTTGCCCTAATTGCCGGCGGTCATACTTTCGGCAAGACCCACGGCGCCGCTCCCAAGGAGCACGTCGGTAATGAACCAGAGGCAGCTCCTCTCGAGCAGCAGGGTTTTGGTTGGAGTAATACTTATGGTTCTGGCAAAGGCCCGCACACCATCACCAGTGGTCTAGAAGTTATCTGGACCAAGACTCCCACAAAATGGAGCAACCAATTCTTCGAGTACCTTTTTGGTTTTGAGTGGGAGTTGACTAAGAGTCCGGCCGGCGCACACCAGTGGGTCGCCAAGAATGCCGATGCTTTTATTCCAGACGCCTACGACCCGGCGAAGAAGCATTTGCCCAAGATGCTGACCACCGATCTCTCACTCCGCTTTGACCCCGCGTATGAGAAGATTTCCCGCCGATTCTTGGAGAACCCAGACCAGTTTGCCGATGCCTTCGCCCGCGCCTGGTTCAAACTGCTACACCGTGACCTTGGTCCCCCAGTCCTTTATCTGGGCCCAGAGGTTCCCAAAGAGGAATTGATCTGGCAGGACCCAGTTCCGGCTGTGGACCACCCTCTTATCGACGCGCAAGATATCGCAGCACTAAAGAAAGCCATCCTCTCTGTCGAGTTGAACACGTCGCACCTTGTGTCTCTCGCCTGGGCGTCGGCGTCTACTTTCCGTGGCAGCGACAAGCGGGGTGGTGCTAACGGCGCCCGTATTCGCCTTACTCCCCAGCGTGACTGGGCGATAAACAGCCAGTTACAGCTAGACAAGGCTATTCCCGCATTAGAAGGCATCCAGAAACGCTTCAACGAGGCCAGTGCACCTAAGAAAGTGTCGATTGCCGATTTGATCGTACTGGCTGGTGTGGCCGCAGTCGAAAAGGCATCCGGTGTTCCAGTCCCCTTCACGCCGGGGCGAACGGATGCTTCCCAGGAGCAAACGGATGTTGTGTCTGTTGGCTACCTCGAGCCCACTTCTGATGGGTTCCGAAACTATGGTAAATCAACACTTCGGGTCAAGACGGAAGCCCAGTTAATAGACAAGGCGCAGCTACTCACACTCTCGGCTCCCGAATTAACCGTGTTGTTGGGTGGCCTGCGTGCCCTAGGTGCTAACTACGATGGATCTACCTTAGGCGTACTAACCCAGCAGCCCGGCCTCTTGACAAACGATTTCTTCGTGAACCTCTTGGACGTTAACACGGAGTGGAAATCCGCTGGTCCTGACAACGAAACCTTCGAAGGGTATGACCGCAAGACGGGCACGAAGAAGTGGACGGCGTCACGTGTGGACCTAATCTTTGGTGCACAATCTGAGCTCCGTGCCATTGCAGAGGTGTATGGCAGCTCGGATAGCAATGCTAAGTTCGTGAAGGATTTCGTGGCAGTATGGGACAAAGTCATGAACCTAGATCGGTTTGACCTGTTGGCTCGGAAATGACTAGATGGAAGTAGTCGAGAGGAACCAGTGACAGGGTTCGCTAAATCTAAACTATAGTTCAAAAGATATCCAAAATAAATTCATTGCCGGTTAGGTATCATGCTACTGGTTGCCAACTCGTGTTGTATCTACCTATTGAACGTATGGCGAGCGCTTCTAGTATGAAGCAGAATAACTAATAGGCAATAACAGACCTGTAACACAAGAATGTGCAAATTCTGATGCTGGGGGGATAAGGTCCATTCCAGAGTGACAAAAATCACTAACTTAATCCCAAGAGTAGTTATTGCCGACAAACGTCTAAACAGAAATCCAGGCTATATGATACAGAAGGGCATTAAGCTGGTTGGGCAAGAGGTGTTTATATACATCTTTCGGTCGATGCTAGTGTGGCGGTCGCCACACCAGACCAGACCAGACCAGACCAGACCTGCCCTGCTAATATAAGCTACTCGAACCAAGTAACAGACAACTTGGTGTCTTGTACCCTTTTGTACGAAGGACCATGGCGCAGTTAGGTGGCTTATTAACTGTTCGTGACACAAAGTTTAAAATCTAATTTTTTTAACGCAAGCTTTATTATATAGCTTCAACAATTAATTTGTTATATTTTTAATAGCACTATGCTTAAAGAAAAAATAATTGCAAAACTAAGTTAATTACATATTATATAATCGATTGTTTTTTAAATTCAATTTGTT